CACATTATAGAAAGAAATGTGACCGGTCAGGTGGGCCTTCAACATTAGAGGTAACCACTGTGCCACTGTGAAGGCTTGCATGATACCTTCATTTCAGGATATTTCTGAAGCTTTCTGCTGGGTCTTTAGTGTTTAGAAATCTAACCCAAATGTTGTTGAAAACACAGGTATGCATGCAGTTCCTGCCACTGATTTCAGTAGGAGTAGGGTGGTGCAGCAGATCCAATGCCCAAAGACACCAATGAGAAGGGCGAAAAAACTATTTCAGAAAATGTGGCAGAAACAGAGCTGGTTTAGTAGCAGATCAAATTACTCCCAAATAGTTTTATAAACATTTAATCTAGATGACTTTTTTTTCATGGAGGAGGGCATGAGAAGAAGAGGTAGAAGGAAATTTTTAATTGAGAGCAATAGTTTAATTAAAAATGTTGTTATAGAGAGCTAGTTACAGCTCTTGAAGTGCATGTGAATGAGAATTTTTTCATTTTTTTCTGATGAAAATAATGCTTTTCAGTTTTCTGTGTTTCAGACAATGCTATCTGTAGTTGGTGTTTCCACTTATCTCTCGTTAACTTGGATTTAACCCTCCGGTTGGCAGGACCTAAGAGAATACGGAACCCAATTAAAAGAATAAATGGCCATGCAGCAAGCTTTGTAGTTAAGAACTTTGTATTGTATTGTATTGTATTGTATTGTATTGTATTGGAACAAATACTGCCATAGCCATAAATTCTTATTTTCATTGATAAGGCCAGCTAATTACAATGTTAATGCACTGCAGAAGGGATGCTGTCTTTTTAGACAAGGTACTTCAAAAGGCTTTTATTGTTGCCGCATGCTTTTCTTAAATTTTCCTTTTCTGGGCAAGTCCTGAAGTGTGATTCTTTGCTTGTCTTCGTGAGCACTTTCCAATAAATATGCTTATTTTTTTCTCCTTAGAAAAAAAATACTAAAAAGAGCATCGCAATATTTGTTGGACAGTTTCTGTTCTGCCCTACAGTAGTGTCCATGGACTGCGGCTGTGGGGTTGTTTTGTTTGGTTTAATACAAACAGCACCTGCTGATGCCCTTTGTTTATAAAGGTTTAAAAATATAAAGGAGTCTTTATTGTTTAAAGCTTCAGTACTACTGATTTGAATTGCTTCACTGTAAAGACTTCTGCATTTTTGAGAAGGCAAATGACCAAAGTCCCTTGATGGAACAGTGGAGGAAGGAGGCATGGATATCTAGGTGTCCTGGGAAGATTTTCTGCAACTGGCCACCTATTGCTTGGATAGCTATTAGAAGACTGACATGGGGCAGTCGGGGGCCAGGTTGCTCTTTTCAGTACGGATATCCATGGTGGTAACTTCCGTGGTGACGGTAGTCATCTTGGTAACCTTCCTGGTATCCCTGGTGATAGCTATGGTAACCATACCCACCATACTCATCATCTGGGCACTGCATGCCGAGTGATTGCTGAATTGTCATTTCCTGTCGCCGAAGCTGCATGGAATCAATCAGATCATACACAATTGCCATAGACCACATTGGAGAAGGATACCAGGATTTGACGTTTCCATCTTTCCCAACTAGAAGCATGGAGAAATATTCTGGGCTAATTTGGAAGTAATTTCGAATGTCTTTCACCAAATTAGCTGGGATATCTTCTCGGTCTACCGTAGAGCTTCCTAGAAGTGATCACATAAAACCAGCATTGATATTCTGCTTAGGCAATGAGGATGGTTTGTAGGCAAGCAAGTTAGCAACATGAGAGAATACAGCCCAATAGCTGGCAATGTAAGATGCTCACCAATTGCAAGTTCAGGATTCCCTGTCTCTGAAATGAAACTTGTCTACTGTGAATTAAAGATGTATTTTTAACAGTTTTGCTAGGTTTAGTAAACTTGACTTCATTCTGTAGGCTGAAGCAAATAGAGTGTGGCACACCTTTTTGTCACCCAACACACATGTACTTTGGCTTCTTTGCAGCTTGGGTCACTGGTAGAAGGCATATATTAAAAAACAGTCACAGTGAAAGAAATCATTGGATTTGAAGTGTGATCGTGTGAAGAACTGCAGGATGGATTTGCTCAGTCATCAATAGCAATACAGAGCCTCACTCTTGAACTGTCATGATATGCAAGATAAGGGATGTGGTAGATGTCATATCTGCTTTAAAATGTGTGTTCAATGCAAATCTGGTGAACTCCAGGCTTGCAAGTGTGAAGGCTGTGCTAGGTAAATGAGTAGAAAGTGTAAGACAAGTAGGATCAGTGGACACCTATATGTATGTGTGTACATACACATAGACATATACATAGTTGGCTTGGTAACAGGGCTCTTACAAAGTGGCATCCTGCCTTACAAACTTGTTGAGTTCTCTGAAGGAGGTCAGCAAGCAGGTGGCTGAGGGTGGTCTGGCTGATACAGGCTATGTGGACTTCCAGAAGTCTTCAAATGGAACTTTGATAGCTTGGTTGAAAGGCAGAAACAAGGTGGGGGCGAATGATCAGTTCCTAGAGTAGAGGGAGGTCACCAGTGAAGTCCCATGGTGGTTTGTGCTGGGACTGGTACTGTTCAAAGTATTTGTAAATTATGTATGTAAGATATAAACATGGTGGTGAGGAATTGTACGGAGGATGTAGAGATACTCAGAATTGTAAGGATGATTGTGACACATTGCAGAAGACACTTGTAAGGCTGTGTGACTTGTCAATAAAATGATGAAAGAAATTCTATTCAAACTGAAGTAAAATGATGCACATGGTGAAAATTTTGCAAACTCCACATAAGAAGTGGTGAAGTCTGGACCATTACCACTTGTCAATGAGATCTTAGGCCTGTGAAAGGGAGTTTCATGAAAGACTAGTTCAGTGCTCAGTAATGGTCAAAAGCCAAAACATATGTTATAAACCATAAGGAAAACAATAAAAAACAAAACAGAGTAGTATTATGCCACTATGGAAACCTATTGTTTGTGTGCATCCTGGAAAAAAAAAAAAAAAAAAAAAAAGGTTGAACTGGGAAAAAAAAGTCAGAAGGGCAACAAGGTTGATCATAGGTCTGGAATAAACTCTGTATGAGAAATTACCAAGTAAGTTAAGACTGCAGTTTGTAAAATAAATGGGTTGGGATAGGTCTACACAGTTGTGAATGTCACTGCAGGGATGGATAGGGATGTTTACCTGTTGTCCCTACACAGGAGATAAAGGTTATCAAACAAAGTCATAGGGGCCATGCTCAATACAAATAAAAGGTACCTTGCAGATCTGTAGAGGTTCTCACAGGAGGACTCCTGCTGGAAGTTAACATTAATTCAAAGGGAGAGAGACAAGTAAATTGAAAAGAGATCTGTTGATCTTAACCAATAGGAACTATAACCAAAGTTATGAAGTCCTTCAGTGAAAAGTAAGTGGGGGCTGCAAGAGTGTTGATGAAGGAAGTATGACATCTGTTTCCCTGGTTCATATTCTTTCTTAGGTGTGGACTTAGGTCTATATATGGTAGAAGGACTAAGATGCTTTCATGTATAGAGCTGTAGGAGTGGCAGTGGCATAAATAAGCTCCTTCCAGTCTGTCCCTCCATTGATAGAGGTAGTCATTGTGATTAGGTAGCAGAGGAACCGGTAGGATTTGAAATGTACCCTGACCGTGAGATCTCTTAAGAATAGCTACCTGAAGTAGCCTGCTGGGATGCAAGCGGAATAGTAAAAGGGGGCTTATAAGAAAGATGGAGAAAGACTTTTTACTGGAGCCCATAGAGACAGGACAAAAGGTAACAGTTTTAAACTGGAAGAGGGTAAATTTTGATGGGATATAAGGAAGAGTTTTTTTAGGATGAGGTTGGTGAGACATTGGAATGGGTTGCCCAGAGAGGTGGATGTGCCATCACTGTAAGTGCTCAGGGTCAAGTTGGATGAGGCTTTGAGCAACCTGGTCTAGTAGAAGGGGGTCCTGCCCATGGCAGGGGGGTTTGACTAGATGATCTTTAAAAGGTCCTTTCCAGCCCAAACCATTCTATGAAGATTAATGAAGAACCCATATAAGAGAAGCTGCTGGGTCTATGTTCTATTAGCTTTGCAAACTCTTGAGCATGTAAAAGGCACAGACATCCCTTTGTGTTTGACAGCAAGGCAGGCAGAGGAGTGTACTTGGGGCTGAATCTATAAGTGGGAGATAGAGATGTGAGATATTTGGGCTTTTCTGTCCTGAAGAACCTATATAATGTTTAGCACAGGAACACCAAGAAAACTTATGGTTTGCTTTTGTGTCTTCTTTTTTCTTAAAAGAAACAAAATGAAAGAGAAAAACAGTCATACTCATCCCACTAAGTAAACACTCAGCACTATGTAATGTCCTTCATGGGTAGTGCTGAAGAAATTGTAAACAGTCACTTACCATTAATTGGATACAACTCTAAGACACCACCAATATCTTCTCCAAGTCCTAGCAATTTGAGGATAGTTATATGGCGCAGTCCTGTGGAGAAAATTAAGGAGGTTTTGGATCAGACCAGTTCTTTATGCTCATTCTTGGGCAGATTTCAGTTTACTCAGACAAGTCTGTGCATGCTAAATTAGGGGCCAGTCTCAGCAACCCTCTAGGAAGAAGAGTTACTGATATCTCTGGAGTCTCTGCTGGTCACAACACCTGTCCCAAACATGGTGATAAACTAGTGTGTCAAATAAATGTGGTATCAGTTGCATAAAAGCTGTTGCTAATGTCCCAAGGACAAGAGCATTTGGTGTGGTTCTGTAACAGAGGGATACAAGCATCAAGTACCCCAGTAAATGACAGAGGCTGTTCCCCAAATTCGGAATGTCTCTGCACTGTTTTGTTCTCTAGAAAAGCTCTTACTTGTCATACACACAGCAACAAAGTATTTAAAGGCGGTATAACTTATGGGAACTAAACTCCAAATGGCTGCAGGGTGTGGCTTAGGACAGGCATTCACTTCTTTGTTTGTGAAACATGAGTCTGTACAATCTGTATAATCTTTGGTGTAGCTGTTTTTACAACTTGGAGGTAAGATGCGTGGAAACATATCACTTAGTTAAAACACCCATTGAGGACAAATGCCTTAGGAACTCACTGAATCTCCTTCAAGCTGTCCCTAACAAAGGGTGGGGAGAATTAACTGGTTTTGTTATACTTCATTCTTCAGAAAGCATTTTATAGTGGTCCATGTCAGTTTACTTTGGTAGCTGCCAGATGAGATGATGCTGATGCTCTGATTGAAAGCCAGGTGATTATGACTAAACAGACAGTGTAACAGTGATACTGTGCAGATCACCCTTCAGGCATAATTGAAATGTATTGAAATAGTGGCTTTTGAATGGGAGTTGCTTCTTTCTTTTGTAGGAGTCAAGTCTGGGCCCTGTATAGTACTTGCGTTGCTATGAATCTAAGTTAAGGAGTAAGTCTCTTTGGGCTTCATAATGGAAAGAGAGATGGGCGTTTCTGGGTCTTGATCTTAATTGCCTCTTGGAGGAGCGCATCCCTCTCCGCTGACTGTGTAGTTGGATCTTAAGTACCTAGTTAGGAGGCTGGGAGGGTCCTTATTGGGTTGAAGCGTCTTCCATTAATATTTTTACAGGCTTTGGTAATGAAGCAGGAAAGAAAAGAAAAAAACCTGATGTCCATGCATCTCCCTGATAGCTGACCCAGTTCTGAGCTGGATGTAAGAGGATCTGCCCTTCCCAAAGCATTGTACCTGTGTCACTAAGTTGTGCAATAAGAAAAAGAAAATGCTATTGATCTCCTGAAGTATAAGCCAAAAGAGAGGCTTTGGAGTGCTAACCTTTTCTGTCTCATGCAAATGATTCCAGGGAACACTTCATTTCGCTGCTTAGCTGTTAGGGTGTGCTGTACGACTTGCTTAGCACAACCATTTCCATTTGGATTTGGAGTAGCTACAGCAAACTTTTCAGTCATCAGACAACTCAGACTGTCTAGGTTAAGACTTGAGCAAAGGAATCCATCACATCACCAGGAAGGATGTGGTTTTGGGGAGCAAGAGTGTAATTTCTTTGGACTCACCAAAATTGCAGGCTTGTCCACTGAGAGCAGCAAGCTGCTGGGAATAAGCCCAGTCCTCGTCACTGGGAGCAGAGATCACCACCAGCCGCCTTCTCCATCGGAACCTGGAGAGAGAAAAGAGTGCAACAGGGCAGTCATAACAAGTGACTCGAGTCCTCTCAGCATTTTTTTTTTTTCTCTCTAAGCTGAGATACGTCATACCTCTCACAACTTTTAAGTAACAGCTGGATGGGAAATTTTCCCAGTTCTATCCATCACTGGGAGATGACAAAGCCTGTTTTGAATTTTACAACTTCAAAAACTCTCAAAGAAACATCTGCAGTTTTGCTGCTTCACCAAACAAATGCTGCAAAGCTTACAGTCTTTGCTCAAACCCCCCTTCAGTAGTTATAACAATACTGAGAAGTGTATATGCAAGGGAAAGAAAGATTCCTGTAGAATTCCTCACTAAGCATTTAGATTTTACGTCATTCACCACTGCTGGAACTGCAGCTATTTTGCCGTCCAAGGGCTGTCTGAGAATTAGGGTGTATCTTCATTTCAGACATAACTCATACTTCTGTGTAAATACTCACTGACCTCTTTTTCTTCTATACCACGCTTACTCAAAATACCTTTAACATGGCTTTAAATCTGAGCTTGTTTGTCTGTGTGTGGCTGCATGAGCCTGTGGCTGTATAAGGCATGCATGAGGCATCTTGGATTTTTTTTTTTTTAACATGGGATGGCCCATCTAATCAAACTTTTGCACAAGGAGCACCTTCTCTTGTCTTCTTAAAGAAAGGCAATGCCATAAGGACACTTGAGACCTTTAAAAATTCTGACTATAGGGGCTCATAATACTCTCCAAACAACCCATTTTTTTGAGTAAAGGTACTTCTCCATTAAACCTAAATAGATCAGATTTAAAGGAATTTGCAAAGCTGCAGGGATATTTTTATAGCAGGAAATGATCTTTTAAATGGATGCAGATGTGACTCTGTTATAATAATAGCCTGCCTTTCTGCAGCACCATGTGAAGATCCCAAAATAAAGGCTAATGTAGTGGGTCAATTCTGTTCCACTCGAGAGAAGCAGAAAGTGTGGTGGGACTTGCTCTAAGTCACAGAATAAGCTGCTGAAAGAACGGGGGATGATGATGTCTTTGTCTTGTTGGCAGACTGATACTGTGTGTATTTTTATAATTAAAAAAGTAAATCCTTGAAAAGTAAAGCTCTCCAAATTTAATCTTGCCCAGGAGGAACAGCAAAGAGACACAAGCATGTGTATACGGGTATGTGAATAGGAATGAGAAGCATTAAGAATCACATATACAACGCGAAGAAAAGCAGGGAAATTTCATGTTATTCTGAAAATGGGGAAAAAATAATCTTTGTGATATTTTCTATAGCAAAAGCACCTGACTAACTACAAACAATGACTGAGAATGTAAACGTTCAATCATATTTTGCCTAGGACATAAATCAAGATGGAATCTTATCTGTGAGTTGCTTTAAGATACTCTAATTCCTTATTGCTTTTTAAGTATCTCCTTTGGAGATGCCCAGAGCCGAAGGGTACTCAAGCTGTTTATTCCCTTGCTGCAGGTAATGCCTATACCTGCTGTGCTTGTCTGGGGTTACATCTTACAGAGAAACTCATTGTTGGTCCTTCACAGCTGTTAGTTCACCATTACTAATGCACAGATTTATGCCTTATTTCTGACATCAGAAGCCACAGGCCAATACTCCTTCCCTGACAAATCTGCCAGACCATTCCCTATGTGCATCCTTTCTTCCTCTTCTACCTATTTTGCATCCCATTCTTGTTTGTGGGCCCAGAGAGCAGCACAGCCAGTGCCAGGGGGGACTCCTCCCCGCAAACTCAAGGATCTTCTTCTGATACATGTGGCTTTTACGCACTACTCAAGCCAGCTCTGGCTCTCATGGTCTCCTTTCACACCAACCAGGCTTGTTAAGAACAATATTTCCATTATTATAACTGGGAGACTTGTCAACACCAGGGCTCTTGTTCAGCTGGGAAGATAATCTTGGAGAAAGCTGGAATGAATCTTGCTGGAAATCTGACCAGTTAACGTGGCTAGTGATGTGCACTCAATATTTAAAGCCTGATGCTTGTTTCAGAGACAACAAATGCATTTTGTGCAGCGGTTGTTCTGTTTATAGATGCAACATTCTGCATTTTTCCTGCCTGTTTTTCTTATGTGTGTTTATTACTAGGGATGTTTGCAAGCAAAGAAGGATTTGGGGCCTGTCACTTTCCAGCATACAAGCTCTTTCTTGTCTTGGACAGCCAGTTCCAAACTGTGGTTCTTCTTGGTGGTCTTGAGGATGAATCACTGAGACCTAAACAGGAGGTGGCGAGGTGGGTGGGGTGGATCTTGTTAAAGGTTCTCTTTCTGTTGAAGTGGCCATCGAATTTTAAAATGTTTGTGAATCAACAACCTATTCATTTACTTGTTTCTCCTTTCCCCTTCAAGTCTTAATCCATCATGCCACCTCAGTTATTTTTGTAGCCATCTGGCATTAACAGTGTATTCCCATGGATTCTCTTAGTAGGTGAGAAGGATGCAGTAGTAACAGGTAAAGCCTAGAGCGATGGTGTAGCCCCAATTTCATGTAAAATTATCCTGTAACATAGAGGGCTATAGCTTCACAGCTCTTCTGTGGATATGAATTCCCACAGTCCATACATGTTTATTGCCTGGAATTTAGGTCTCATACATTAGAGCAGTAACATGGCAGATAGAGATTGCATAAACAAAACTGTCTTTCTGCAGAAGGTCCCTCAAATGTTTCACAAGAGACATCTACAAGACTTTAAATAATATGCATGACTAATACTGGCAAAGACCAACTGTTATCTCAAGCAGGATAAGAAGGAAGTTACAGTGAATTAATCACTTATTTGAGCTACATGGAAGGGATTAGTATGGGATTAATGAGATTGTGATGGTTGATGATTGAAACACATAAACACTGTGCTTCATATGTTCAAAACACTGAGCTAACATCTGTGAATGAATCCTTATTTGCTCTTCTAATGCAAATCAGTGTTACTGTCTCCATGTCATGATGGGGGAACTGAGGTACGGAAAGTTAGTGTCCAAAGAATGTGCAGTCAGTCAGGAAGCCCAACATGCATCCTGACTTCCAGTGCTCTGCACAAGACTGCATGCAGCTATGCCTAGATCTCTGTATTTGCTTGACACTGTAGATACTGAGAAGTCTATATTAAAAAACCACAGAAATGGTTGGGTGGGTATTTTCCAATAAGACAATAATTATTCGAACTAGCAGCAGATAAGAACAGAGAGTAATACCTGGATAAGAAGCTCTCAAGGGATTGCTTCTTATCTTCTTTGCAGACAATGCCCTCTTTTTTCTGTCTTTCCATGTCCTTAATTCGTGACTGGAAGGTGTCGATCAAATCAAACACAGACTTCATTGCTATGGGTACTTCATAGTATTGCTGTTAAGAAAAAAGAAGAGATGGATAAAAGGATGCACATATTAGCAGTCTTTCTGTGTGTATCACAGCACTGTAGGATATATATAGATTAAGGTATTCCTGTTTACACACAGGTAACATGGCCTAAACCAGATCAGAAACCATGGAAAATATTGGTTTTGCAGTCAAACTGCTCTTTAGAAGTGGCATATTTTCAATATTTGCCCAATGTGATAAGGCCAGGCCATTGCAGGCAACAAATTTGCATTATATTCTTTTGTAAGGCTGTTCAACTAGAGCATTGTCCATGCAATGTGTTGTCATCCTGTTGAGTGGACAAAGTATGTTTTAGAATACCAGGTACTACATTAAAACCCCTGCCAGAGGGTGGTCCTGTTCCTGTGGTGTCAGCTCACCATCCTGGCAGAAACCCACAATTCCCAGAATCCCCTAAACTGCAGAAAATGAAGACAGCTACTTAATTCCTGAAAATTTCTCTTACTGTCCTTTTTCTTGTCCTTCAGCAATGACCAAGTCCTGCATTGGTTGCTTATGTGCTTCACGTGCAAGCCAGTAGTGTAATTTCCTAATTTTTTTCAATTTTTCGTATTTTTCCAATGTCTTTTATTTCAGAGTCAAACCCCTCACCTTGACCTTCATGTCAATGTCCGTCAGCACCATGAAGAAGTCATTGTAGGTCATTCCGTACTCTTTCCTCAACTCACTGATGAGCTGCTGGTCCACAAGATCTTCATCCTCTATCACTTTCATGGGCTTTTCATTATCTTAAGGTGAGACAAAGAAATAAAAATAGTCATGGAATCACACAGCACTCTACGTTTAATTTCACCTTGAAAGAAAATGGGAAATTTATTTCCCAGAAACCCTCTTCCTGCTGCATAGGCAAGATATTAAAAAACATCAGTATTGCACTGTGGCTTTTAGCTGTCCAGTTTTCAATCCCAGTATTTTCTGAAAATCAGTCTGTCCTGGGGCACATACACTTCAGTATTCAACATTTCTACTTGCTTTTGAAAAATCTTGGTTGCCTGCTCTTTTCTGGAAAGATCTTTTAGATTTTTTTTAATATGCTTATACATGTACTAATCATTTCACAAGCTCCTGAAATGCAACCACTTCTGGAATAGAAAAGAGAAACTGTTCAACAATTTAGGACAGAAGCTGGAAAGCACCATACCCAAATGAAACAGTATAGAGAATTTGGGTCAGTAGAATATAGCTAGAACAGCTTGAGATTGGCCAGGCCACTAGAGTTAACCTTTCCAGTCTTAAAAAAATCATGTGGGAGGTTTAGTGACTACAAGAAACCAGAAACTGCTTAATGTGTCTTGAATCTCACTCTTCAGCTCTCTCTATATACCCTGCTGTGGCACTCCTCCTTCATCTGATTGCTGATGTTCATTTCTCAAACTTAGAAGTGATTTCTAAGGGAAAAAAAAAAATCTAATCTCCTCTTTCCCATTCCCTACTGGTCCCTGACTTTCCCATCATAAAAGACATCTGGGATCAGCATGAAGAACGATGGGAGTTGAGACAGTCTGCTGCTACCTGCAAAGTCCTCACTCTCTTTGCTCTTTCCGGAAAGGTCACTGAAAGTGTGGAAACTTTTCTCCATCCATCGTTAGCAGCTGGACAGGCTGAAATAATTGTAAAGTGGGTAGACTGGGGCTGGTGCTTAGTTGACTAAAGCCCTGTTCCCATGAGCTGGAGAAAAGAGACCACGTGGCTAACTCAAGGTGAAGAGAAGACCTCTGCAGTGACACTCAGCATTTGTGTCATTCCAGTGGGAAACCGGGAAACACTCTTTGGTTTCAGTGTGAGCTAATCTTGGCCAGACAGTGTTGATGAGCTCTCTTTCATTGACTACTTCTAAATGCGTTTGACATTTCAAGTGAAAAGTCATTTCTGTGGACTTTTCTGTTGTCATTTGTATTTCAGTCCCAAGATGCAGGTAGACCTCATCATGCTGGGTGCTAACGCTTCTCACTACAGCATAAATACTGTGAACTAAATGTTTCTTAGGAACTTTAGTTGCGTCTGGTGCTGACAGAGTGAGCCATGACAAGGCCATGCAAGCAGGAACAGTAGAGGAGACGGGGAGGTAGAACAGAAAGACCTCTGTATTATTCAAACGTTTTTAAAAGCTCAGGATTTGGTGCTTTGGGCAAAAATGTAAGGTGAACTTTGTCTAAGGTTTAACTTACACCCTTCTAAGTCACCTGCTTTTCTTCAACAAGTTAATTCGTCCTGTGAGAATTTAGCTGTTACATACACTTGTGTGGTTTGGGGAAAGTTTGGGTGTAGGTTAAGTAGGTTAAGTTTGGAACAGGCTGAAAGAGTATGGTCTATGTCAGAGTGAATGTCTGTTTATTAGCCAGACTAGAGCTAAATATAATCCTAAACAGTCCACTGACAGGCAGATGGGTCTAGGTACACAGAAAATGACCTTGAGTAACCTTGGTCTGATGTGGAAAATCCTGTACGGCTCCAGTTTTTTCAAGGAGGTGCACAAATGGACAGTCTGGCAGATTTGTGACTCACTGTCATTCAGGGACACGAGGCTCCCACTAGACCTTCTCCCTCTGAGAGTAGTAGAGGCACAGATGGAAGCCAGACCTAAATCTGTGATCTTCTGGCCTGTGTATGCCAGACCTGAAATACCCTAGAGCTGGTGTGGTCCTGAGCTTTCTGTTCCATCAGACATCTCTTCCCAAGGTCTGGTAAAACCAGATGAACTTCCAGAGGAAACGTGGTGGACTTATAAGCAGAACTAGCAGCTTTTATACTATTTCTTTTCCTATGTCTAGGAAAGGATTCATGGTGGTGTTAACCTTCAGAGGCAGGCAGCAGTGAGATTGTTTATATGATTCAAGAGACACATAAGCTTAAGTGCTTTGCTGGACTGGAACCTGAAGTCTTTGTCCAAACCCTACTGTTAATGAAAGGAAAGGTTCTCACTGGCTTTGGTGGGTGCTTCACCAGGACCTGAACACTGACACAGTTGTTTCAAAGCTGACTAAGCAAGATGGATGCCCAGTGTCACCTGTCTATATGGGAACTCTGTATGTAAAGAAGGTGGTACTAAATATGGCTGAATGAGCTACTTTTCAACTCCTTCACAGTCTGATTTCTAGTGCCTCCAAAGCCTCCGGCTTCAGTGAGATGAACCCCTTTGCAATAGTCAGCAATAAGCAGTCACACTGGTGGGTATTTTGCTTTATGGGTAAAGAGAGGTGATAGGACTTCAAATAGTAAAACTTTTAATATCAGGTATGCTGGTGCAAATTTGTAAGGGTGTCCTTACCCAGATGCTGTGATTGAAATCTTCTAAATTATTAACTGTGTACCAGTAGAGAGGGGAAAATGCGCCTGGACCTCCCCTTACTGTGGAGGAGAATACTCACTTTATGAACATATCAAAATCAGCTCTTAAGCCTAGGAGAGCTGATCCTGGGAAGGAAAGGAACTCATAGCAAGGGGTCTAACTAGCACGTTTCTCTCTGTCCTGGGTTTAGCCAGTGCATGCCCCTGAAAAATGAAGCTTTTTTCCATGACCTTGTGAGGAATGCAAAGGCATGAGAAAATGTTGTATGGCAGAAGGTGGAGTTAAGGATGTTGGACTTCAAAATAGGATTAACTTGGGCCAAGTTTTGAATATAATCTCAAACAGTTCCTTTCAGTATTTCATGCCCCCAATGTGCTCTCCTTCATGACAGCAGCCAGTTTCTTTAAGCAATGTTTAAAACATGATAGCCAGTATCAAGCCACCTGTGGCTGATGTCCTGCAAAAACCAAGGGTGGGGAGGCATTGTATTAGGGCAGCCGTTTGGTTAGACAGTGAGGTTGGTGTTCAAGATATTGGTAGAGCTGAGCCTAATTTCCTCTTTCTGTCCCATGCCCTCATCACATTTTTCTGCCTTTTCACTGTTCCACTGTTTTATTAGCTTTAAGAATTCCCACAAAGAATGCTGAAGGTGCTCAAGTTACAGCACTGGAAGACTGAACATGGAAAATACCAGAGACACTTATGTAAACACTAAAGGGGGGTAGCTGGCATGGAAGGAGGAGAAATGGGTTTGAAAGGACCACAGCAAATGATCTTGCTCAGATCTTGACCCAAGATGGGGACATTTCTTCCTTTGCTATCTGTATTGTGCCCATGAGATGGAAATAAATTATTAAAAAAAAAGAACCTAGCTGGAAGTGATCAATTTTCATGCTGCTGTTGTTCATGGTGCCAAAAATTGTAATGACCGAGATCTTCCTCGTTGCCATCTTGCAGAAGCTCTCCAGGTATTCGTCTCGCTGTTGTACATACATGGTGTTGTCCGCCTTGGGGGTTGTGATGAGCTGGTTGGTGGCAGAGACAAAAGAGCTTGTTTAGTATAAGGAATGAAGCAGGTGAGTATTTTACTGAAGGAGAACAAGGCACTGTCTGCAAACTGGGCTGTCTTTTCCATGGAGCTGTTGGCAGCTCTGTAGCCTTATTTTATTTATTTGTGGTTGGAGTGTACCTTTAGGGTCAGGCCTGACCCAAAGGTTTTCAGCCAGCCACAGGAAAACCCTAGGAAACATGGCCAGCTGGTGGCATCAGCTTCTCTACTACCTCTCCAGAAAAGAAGAAATGGCATCGGATTTTACAGAAAAATACGTACTTTCCTATTATCCCTTGCCCTGCCAGTCCCACCAGGTCTCTCTCACAGCCTTCAATGGTGCCATGAATCTAGGATTCCCCCCACTCACTCACAGTGGGACCACTGGGAACACGGCTGCCACTCTGACCTCATCCCATGGTCCAGGCAGGGCTCCTGAGGGCTGTTTTGACTGTCAAGGGGTGAGGACAACTAGGGCTACATGAATACTTATGTCACTGATAGCCATATAAGAAGAACTTGAAAACTTGCTAAGGCTGCTGTGACCTTATATGAAAATAAGTTTAAAGCACACAACATTGGTGACTGGGATGAAATATGGATCCAAATTTTATGATTCAAGGTCATAAATAATCACCAGAATCCTTCAATTGCAAACTTATGCTTCAGTCTGTGACAGGTGCAATCATCTTCTAGATGCCTTCTTAAGTTTGTAGGGCCTGGAGGCTAATTTTTATTATACACTTCTTATAAATCCAGTTCATCAATGTACTGAAATGTAAGAGGCATTTCTAGGCTTATAAGATCTGACTCTCATTTATGCAAAGGCCCCCTGGCATGACTACAGCATTGGGACATGAAGGTGAATGAGAGTCAGGCACAAAGAGGATTTGATTTCTGGGCCATAACATGCAACACGTTGCTTTTAAATTGCATAGAAATGCTTCAAATGAAAAAAGGATCATGAAAAGGATTTGAGGACTGAGGTCAAAACCAGACCATTGGTTTGTATCATCCTCCTAGTTTTGGAGGCCGTAGGCAGGAACGCACAGTTAAGTCTGAATTTGATCTACTTCATCAAACCTTGTAGAATAAAGCAGGGAACATTTAAGAGGCAAAACAAACTTCAAATTAAAGCTTCATGCTAGGACTCTTTTAACCCAGACAGTATATACACTCTCTGTATTTGCATGCATGTGTGTGTATGTGCAGGTGCATATATGTGCGTGTGGGTATAAATGGAGTCATATATAAACTGTCTGTCTACATTTTATCGTGACAGAGAAATAAACAAAAAATCCAAACTCACTAAGCCAAGACTTCTCAACATTAGTAAGACTGCAATAATAACCCCCCCTATAGAGAAGTGGGGCTGCAGGGCTCAAAGCCCATATATTTTTTTCAGTTCCTGCAGCTGGGTCCTGTTTTTGTCATTAATTGAACTTAACCCAAAGTAGCCTTCAAAGTCCTGGATGTTTGAACTTCGCACTGAAACCTGCAATCTGAAATTCTTAATGATATGTAGGACTTAAAACCCCATGTCTCTCTCAAAAGACTTTTGGGAGAGGACTGAAACAATGTCCTTAGGAGCCAGTCTGTGAAAGTGTCTGAAAGACAAAAGTATAGCAAATCAATAGAGCCACTTCTGAAGCAGTGCGGGCTAGTTCTCCAGAGAGGGAGTTTGAAAACTCATGAATGGCAGAGTTCATCCAGCTGGAACGACTGACCCTAAGGGAACTGAACAGTTTGATCAGAAGGGATGAAAATAGACATGTGCGTGGATTCAAAGAAGCTTGATAAGTTCTTTGCTTTCCACATGTGCCATGCATGGGAAAGAGATAGCAGAGTTCAGCCACTGCTTTTACTGACGACCAGTTCAAACCTCAAACTTCAGGGTAAGCAGGCTGAGGATAGATACTGGAAAAGTGAAGTGCAGCGTGGCATAATCATTTGTCTTCAGTGAGTTTTGGCCTGACAGCCTGAGATTGTGCAACTCTTGGAGATCTAGCTGAGAGGTGGCCTAGTATCAGAAGGTTCAAATTTCAGACCAGTCTTTAAGTTGCCAGGACTGTGTTCATGTAATGAATTAGCAGCCTGACATCTCTGAGCTCTGCTTTTGTCTCTTTTTTCAATTTTGTTTTCATTTGTCCTGATGCTACGCATATTCTTGGAAGCCGCAATGTTGAGATATATGACCAAGTTTCAGAGATCACAAACTTCTGTGCAGTTTCTCTCTTTGAGCTTTTCCTTTGGCTAAGTATTACTTAACAAGTAACTAACAGGAATTATTTGAAAAATTCAGTCAAGTTCAAATTTTTCAAATATATTACTTTTCTCCACTTCCAACATGGTCTGGAATGCAAGTCTGATAGCTCTGCACAGCCCCTACAGGTGAAAGAATGGGGAGGGGGAGAAGAAAGTTGGCTTCTGCTCAGATCTGTAATTTAATTAATCATCAGCAGAATGATTAATTAAATTCCAATGGCTGAAATCTTAGCTTGGCATCTTAGCTATTTGTATTGGAATATGTGGCATGAAAGCTATGTTTGTGATACTGACTATGGGACAATAACTGTGAAGCAGGCCAGCTTGCAGTGGAATAGTTGCAAGAAGCCAGCTCCCACAATAATATTTTTGAAGAACTGTTTTTCAAAGTGTACCTTTCAGGGTATGTGCCATCTGCCAGAAAAAACATTTGTACTACAGCTAAAACTGTTTCCTGTCCCAGGTGAAGTGTTTTTTTAGATAAGTAGTTGGAAAAACATACAACGCTATTAAAGCCTGGGACAAGTAACTCCAGAGCATGCTGAGTTTCACAGACTTGAAAACTTACCATAGTGGTGTAGTTTAATAAAAACAGCAGGGGAAAAAACCAAAGCAAAATAAAGTTTGCACAGGATCTCTGAAGATGACTAGGAGATCTGAATGCAAAATTCCCATCAGAAAGAATAGCAAATGTAACAATCCTACTTCAGGGCATCTGATCACACGCCTGTGTGCATATATCCTCAGTCAGACGTGCACTAGTACTGCCAAGCCACCTGGCTTGCTTTACAGTTTTAGGACACCAGCACCAATATAAAACAGGTGTGCCAGCTGGCAGGATATGCTGAGCATCGAAATGTGGTAACGTTGGCAAGTACCCTAAAGCAATGAATGGTTATAATCCACACTGGAACTTCATTTTATCAATCATAAATATACAGATCCTGACACCTACATATCCACTGGAAAGGACATACTCTGATGGCTATATGGTGGCTCATGGAAGTGACTGGGAAGAGGTTTTAGACTAATTCCTGGCTGACTGGTGTTCATACTGCATGTAAGATTTCCAACATGAGGCTGCGAAACCTTCCCTGTTGGAAATTATCATTTGGGTCTAGAAATTTTAGCTCTTAAACAAAAGCACCAAAAAAGAATAATACAAAACCACCATCAACTTTCTGTTCTGCATATTCCTACTACGACAGAGCTATGACTTCATTCAGAAGAATGAGTTACTTACAATGAGCCGCCTTTTGCCTTCAAAATATTCCAGGAGGTCAGTCACCAATTTCCTGGGAGGCTGTAGGAAAGGCTTCTTGTTGGGTTTGGGGAAATCCTCATTCTCAGTCCTGCTCCCCTTCTTGTTCTTCTTGCTACGGTCTTTGTCCTGCCTGCTCTTTTTCTCAGCTTTGTCCTTCTTGGACTGCTTCTCACTCTTCTGCAGCTTGTCAGGTCTGTCCTTCTTCTTCTTCTTCTCAGGTTTATCCATTCGCTCATGCTTCTTTGATTCTTTTCCTTTCTTTGGGGGAATATTTCCTGTTCCAATCTCTTCTTCTAAATGGGAACTAGCAGGCTTGCTCAGGTCGTATTTATGTTCATATTCATTGCTCAGTATCTTTTCTTGGGCCTTCTTTTTTGGTGGTTTAGTCTTAGTCGGTTTGTGTTGCCCTGGTGTGACATTCAGGTCCCTGTGGTTATAGTCCTTCCTGTCTGTTCGGTTATCTGTAAATCTACCCACATTTGCCTTTGTATAGTGCATTGAGGGAGGTGTTGGGACTTCTGTGAAACTGTCATAGCGGGAAGATTTACTTGGCTTCCTTGTGGCCTCTGAGTGTTTCTCTGGGTGGCCGCGCTGCCGGTCCCTGCGGTTTGCCTTCCATGAAGGAGAGTAGAAATCTTCAGAGGCTATGACTCGTGGTGTGGTGGCATCGGGGGCTAGTGGCAGCCTGTGGTACTCTGTGGTGGAATGTGACTTTGTGGTCCAGGTTCTCTGCGTGGTGGGGAGGGGTGTAGTTGTTGTTGTAGACCGGCTTGCTGCTGTCACTGCGCGGGTGGTGGCACGGGTAGTTGTGGTGGTGGGAGGGAGGGTGGTGGTCCTTACTGTAGGCAGAGGAGTGGCCACTGTGGTTGTCATTGGTTTCCTCACAGTTTTGGTCCTCGTTGGCTGATTATTGCTCCTCCTTGTCTCTTCCTTCCTTGCTGACACCTGGACACGTCCACCATCAGGGGTAGGCTGGGTGCTTCCCCCATTATTGCCTTCCTCAACCACTTGTCCCTCCACCCCAGCTGCTTTGCAAGCCTGGATGAAGCCCTTCTGCCTCATCTTCTCAATTTTTCTGATGGGGCTCTGATCAATAACTTCGTACATGGCCTCTAGTCTGACTGGATAAGGATACCTTTCCTCCACCTGCAGAGTTTTCTTCAACAGCACCATGCCAAATTTCCCCTTCTCCAGTTTCAGAAAGCTCATGAGCTTAGGTATGAGGGCAGGATCTAGTGGCTGCTCCAGGATTTTGCCTTCGTTGGTTATCCTTCTGACTTTCCCCCCTTCTTCCCCTTCTTCATGGAACAACACAATCTGCTGGATGTGCCTCTCAGCCAGTTCGCAGTAAACATCGTTTTTCAGCAGGCTCATCATGAGCCGGTAGTAGCCCTCAGAGGCATGGGGGGCAGAAATGACCCACACACGATTTTTCCCAGCAAAGCTGGCCAGGACATTGGGAGAACTTGACCCTGAAGGGAAGCGTACCACTCGTGACTGTGAGGCAGAGGATATCCCTTCATCCTTAATCATCTTGGACTTGGAGTATTTGGCTGCAGCTGTGAGTCTCTGTACACGTCTTGTTCTGGTCCCCATGCCCCTGGCCTGGGAACGTGCTTCCCTTTGCAGGAGATTGGCAGGTGCCTTTGGAGGTGCTGAAGAATCCCTCTTGGTGACAGGGTGTTGGGGATTCGGGCTCAAATTCCTCGGAGATGCTCCAGACCTTCTCAGGAGGCTGCTTGGAGCCCTGTAAGCCAGGGGCATTTTCCTAACTCCATGGCTTCCTCTCTCCGCTAGCCTCCCTGTCTTCTCAGAGCCACACACTAGCGACGCTGCCCACAGCAGGGCTAAGCTGAGAGCTGGCCTCCAGTTCATTGTGCAATCCACTTGAGGGGAGGAGGAGAAAGAGAAAAAGTTAGAAGTTAACAGCATGATGATATCTTACGCAAGCGATAAAAAAAGCAAAGCACAAGCTGGCTAGTTTTTGTGATTTAAAAGTGCTAATTACACCTCAGTCCTGCCATGCAATCCACTTGAGGGGAGGAGGAGAAAGAGAAAAAGTTAGAAGTTAACAGTATGATGATATCTTACGCAAGCGATAAAAAAAGCAAAGCACAGGCTGGCTAGTTTTTGTGATTTAAAAGTGCCTGCCATGGTGGCTTTGTGCAGTTTACAGTTATTTTTGGAAAAGCAGAAAATGGATCGTTTTCTGACAAAAAATGAGATCATCCATCTGTAACATGATTCCGTCTATCCAAAAGGACACTGTGATCTCCATCCTTCTCTCTCTCTCTGTCTCTCTCTCATGCTCTCACATACACACATGCAAACACACACAGAGAAAGGGTCTGGTACGTAGAGCAGAAAGCCAAGAATTTGACTTGAGACTTACACTCTCAGCAAAGTTTCCCTTCCAGTGACAAGGTTTCACGTCTTTTTCCTTTAAAAGGAGACCGATGCCATACAGCTTTGCTGCTGCCCAGTGATTTATCTTTACGCAGCCCAACAGGTTCCAGAGCCTGTCTGTCTCCCCGTGTATCTTTTAACTTTCTTTCTTCTTCACCTTCTTGACAAGCGGGATAAGGTTAGCATAAATTTCCTTTGGGATCTCTGCTTCGCCATTTACCTGCAGGTCTGGCTTTTTGCTCTACCGGTTACCCGCACAGGCAGGGATTTCATTTAAGAAAAGGGAAATCCCAGCTGCTCCGAGTCTCTCTCTTAAACTTCCCAAGCCTCCTTCCCACTTCTTGCTTCCTCAGTCTCGTTTAGCTCCTTTGTTTCCAGAGAGGAAAGCACCAGCATTAATATATTTTCCAGGCTGAAGAAAAACACAGGAATGTGATGCTGAAAAAAAAGACACTTCTCTTTCCCCACACTTCAACAAAAGCAAATTGTAAAAGGCTCGTCTTTTCTTCTCTTCCCCTTCTTGGCTGGCCGCAGTCCCAGAAATGTCAGGGTACCCCCAGCCCTGCTCCGAACCAGCCTCAGACAACGGTGGCCACTGGAAATGGGGGAAACTTCACTCAGGATTTAACAGCTCAGCAGAACCCGCCTCCTCCCCACTCCAACACAGGGAGGGAGGAGGAGGAGGAAGGCTCTGGGGGCTGAAACACTGCACAGCATCACAGAGCACTTCAGAGAGGGTGACTCCAGCCTTAACTCTTTCCTTCGCGCATCCTAGCTCCCCGGCGCTCCCCAGCCTCGGCTTTCTCTTTCCTCCCATTAAACGGACACCCTCTGGACAAAACATAGTCCTGTGAGAAGTGTGTTTCCCCATGTGTGTCAATAACAGCTCTCGTGTTCAAGAGTTACTGATTTTTAACCCCATTATTTTTACCTCCTGTTCCCATTTTCCCTGTTTGTTTGCTTTCTGGGAGTTCTCCATGGAAATCCAATTTCCCTTCACTTTCCAACCAATTTCTCTTTCAGGACTATATGTTGGTAGTGTTTTGTTTTGTTTTGTTTTGGTTTTGGTTTTGTTTGGTTTTTTTGCTTTTCTGCAAACATTGTACGGGCATGACTGTTTGTTATTTTGTAGTTTTTAAAGAGATCAGGATCTCTTTAAAATTATGATTGTATTAAAATTAGACCTGCATGTATCTCCCATGCATGTGCAATAGAAGTAAAAAAAAAAAAGGTGCAAAAATACCTAAAGAGACATGGGAAAAGACAGGGTCACGTCCTTTGCTCTCCCTTGATGGTGTAAATGACACCATTCTATTGAGCTGACGTAAACTGGCACAGCTACGCTGCCAGCACCTGGTCTTTAGCCGATTCACACTGGCTTCAATGTGTCGTGCACCTTCAGTGGAAAACACCACTTAATTGTAGTTGATGGGTAACACCTAAAAACATCCAAGACCTTAACACTACCTTTACTGTTTTCCAAGATTTCGCTTATTTACAGAGATGCTGTTACATTTCTGTGATAACATACTGGATTTGACCTCAGTTATCTTGGAGTCGGGGGTGGGGAGGGGGGGGGAAGGTGTACCTTCTACTTCCTTTGAAA